GTGAGTTTTAAACTTCATCATTACCTCCTCGTACTGAGAATTAGCCAATTCAATAAAACGCATTGCATCTTAGAGCCGAGCTCGGAAACTTTCAAGTTCAAAGGTGTTAATTTCTGGTCCAATTTCTCGTCTAATATTCCTTTCAATTGCCGAAAGATATAGAGCCGGCTGTCATTGAACATATGATTTACAACCTAGTTACCAAGTTTTAACAAGAGGAGATTTAAGGCTTGAAAAATTTAATCAAAATTACAGTCCTATTCCTGGTAATGCGAATTGTCCATCCGAGGGGTATGGCCACTAAATTGTTGTATATTAGTTTCTCATCCCCACCTGCATGCTTTTTAATGGTCTTGTTCGCCATTATTGCCATTTTTGACCAGTATTATAAATTTTGTGACATCTTCAAAATGATATTTGAAAGAAAGACAATTAGAAACGTTCCCAAACCAAAAGTTTTAGTTAAAATACAAAATTTCATACCAAAACTGTGCGTTTCTCTCGCTTTTACCGGAAGCCAGGGGCAGGGAAAAAATGCGATGACTTGGCTACAAAATTATGTGGAGCGGCCATGTTTTTAATATGAAAACAAGATTTCAGTTGCACTCACTAATTTTGTGCTGTTTTGCAATGCTATAAATGCTAAATGCACACTTTTTCAAAGTAATATTTACAGAGAGGGGAAACCTGGCAAATAATGGCTTAATGGGAATGGCCTGCCCTCATCAACTTTAGGTGAAGACCCGGATGAGAAACTAATATGCAACAAATAGTGGCCTATAGTAAATTCAGGTAAACCTAAAATAGCTTTGCCAGAATTTACAGGTGAACCCCTTGGTTGGCAAATAGTGTTAGCATTAGTGATATTGATAAGTTTAATTATCTCATAGGATGTTTGAGAGGGGAAGGTCTTGTGGCCATCTCAGGTCTAACTTTAATATCAGAATTATAATGAGCAGGTGTTGATTTCTGCTCAAATGGAATCATTATTAAAAATTGAGAAGATTAGGTTGGTAGATAACATCAAAGGATTAAGGATGTTATATAATCATGTGGAGCACTGTGTTGGGAATTTCAAAGCTTTAAAGCTTAATACTAGTATGGCTCTCTTCTAATTCCCATTCTTAAGGACCAACTGCCAGATGAGATTATATCAAGACAGTTTTGTGGAAAAGTTTAGAATTTAGACAAAGTCATGGAATATTTAAACAGCTCACTTCATGCTAAAGAAGATTGTAATTTTTCCATTACAAGTAGGCCAGAAACTTCTAAGGAAACGAGAGCCATATACAGCAAGTGGACTGTTAAGTCAAACTGGTAAAAATCATGTTTATATTGTAATGAGGAAGAGCACTTTCCCTCTAAGTGTAGTATTAGAGAGGTTAAAATACCCCGGTTTTGGTGTACGGGTACGAGTAGTGTCATCTTGTTTTACTGATGTCTGTAATTCGATCATACTTTTTCTGTTTTCTTGCAATAGACAACGATATAATGTGAAAAATGTGCACCTTAAAGGACAATGGCAACAAAATTTTTTATTGTCTGTATTCATTAAACTTACTAACGGAATACTTAATTTCATATTTTTGTTTGTCCATTGCATTTAGTTGTTCAGAAAATGTGCGAAAATGTTTAACAAATTTTAACAGTCGTCCGCCATCCAGGTGATCTTGATACGCGGAAAAGTACTGGCACTAGTTGTCAAATAGAAATCCATTTTATGATTAAAACAACTGAATATCTCCTGTAATATACTTTATTTCGATTCCATATTTTTGTCAGAGCTATAGTTCTCATAACCAAACATAATTACAAAATTTCAACTAGTTTCATAAAGAATAACGAAAGATATAATTGACTGAATACATCAAAATGGATTTCTATTCGGACAACCCTTTCTGAGCGCTGATTGGCTAAAATACGAACACGAGATCACCTGGATCTTGGCAAAATTCCGCGTATGCTAATTTATGCATGAATACATTTGGTGACGTAGATGGCAGGGTAAACACAAATCCCACAATATAAGTTATACTGTAACAACGTTGAGATTTGGAAGAAAATGTTTACAAAAAAATTACAGATACACGGCAACGTGTATTAATAGTTCAATAATGTGTAGCAACTTACTACCAATGGTCTGTGATTGTGTTTTCGACAGTTAAGCGTATATTTGCGTTGTAAAATGCGCTTAGACATTGACTCCGGTTATAGTAGTTCTGCTGTTCCAATTGCATGTCATATATTCAAATTGTATGTATATCATATACATTTATGTATGTGCATGCTCTGTTGCAGAAATATAGAAGTAATTTGCATTGAAATAAAAGATTCTACTGAGTATTTAATGTATCAAAGTATTGTTATTATTATTAATACAAAAATCATTCAATTAACTGCAACAATGTTAACTGATGTTGTAGTGGATAATTCCACCGTGAGGCACACCAGTCTTAGACGAAGCATTTTAAAATCTCGTGCCAGAATTCACTGGCCGTCAACTTTGGAAAACATTGACTGCACGAATTCCATATTAAAGGCTGAATCAAAATCATGATAGGTAATTGATCATGATTGTGAAGAGAAAATATACTTCTATAAATGCAGGCCGGCGACATATATTTAGCTGCAGATTTCACAACTATTGCTTTTAAAACTGAGCAGGCATTCGAACGACATTACTTGTGAAATAGCTGGTATCTATATCTTCTGTAACGTGTAGTGTCGGCTGTGTCGCGCAAGTTAGATATTGCGCAAATTAGTAAATTAACATCCAAGGTCAGTGTGGGATTTTCCCAGTAATCCTAGACAAGAGATAAGTGTAAAATAACTATAATCTGGTTCGTATAACCAGATTATAGTTATTTTACACTTATGTATTTTTACATGTAGTTTTACTTGGTTATCAATTGTAGCATTGTTCAGGGTGTATAAAAAAAAACTGAACAGATTTAAAATTGCTCTCAATTTCGCAAAACACTTATTTGTATCCGGTTTTTTATATATATGGCCTCTTTGGGTACTTATAATGTAGAAGAATGAGAAAAATTTCTCGAACTCAAATTTTGTGAACCAGGGGGGGTGTCTTTTCCAACAAACTAAAAATGGCTCGCGCACAAAATATAAAAGTTGTAATCATATTTTGAGTTAATAGATGGGAAATTGTTCGGGTTTTTAATTACTGTACACACTTTCAGATAATTTGGTTTAGTTTAAGCCCCTTAACTATTCACGCAAAGTTACATTTTTCCTAAAAATCAGCTATTTGCATGCTTAATTAATGCATTTGCCTAATTTGCATATGTCAGCAATATGCAAATTAGGTAAAGGCATTAATTAAGCATGCGAAAGGCTGACTTTTTAGAACAAAATGAATAGTTAAAGGCTTAAACTAAACCAAATTGTATGAAATTTTGTACAGTAATTAAAAATCCGACAAATTTTCCATCTTTTAAAGGAGATTGGCAACAAAAATTGCTTCATCTATCTTATTGCTTCATCTGAAAGAGCATGAAAAAATAAGCCGATTGGCCGTTTAATGCTCTATTCATCTCATCTAGTTCCGAAGTTATACGCAAAAATGTGAAAATATAAATTGCTGATTCAGCACAACGTGTGACGTCATTAGCTGGGTAAGTATGTTTATTGAATACTACACTGAAGCATAGCTCAGTTATTATGGGCCCAAATCAAATGAAATTTTGCATACTGATTGTACATGATGAGACGCATGGAAAAACACTTCTAATTTTGTTGCCAAGGTAACAATGTCGTTTCCAGGCCCCTTGCGCCAATTTTATGAAACAGCTTTATTCAAGGTACTGATAAGAATAAAATAATATCAGAAGTATGTGTATGATACCTATGCATGCCAAAAGTTTACTTGCATGATAATAATTCGAAAATGACATACACATAGATAAATGCAACTAGTTATTCAAAATCAGTGTAAGAGGCCTGGGAACGACTGTGTTGCCTTGACAACGAAATTAGAAGTATTTTTCCCATGCATCTCATCATGTACTATCTGTATGCAAAATTTCATTTGATTTGAGCTAATAATAACTCAGCTATGCTTTAGTTTACTATTCAATAAACATACTTACCCAGCTTATGACGTCACAGAATGTGCTGAATCAGCAATTTATATTTTGCACATTTTTGCGTATAACTTCGGAACCAGATGAGATAGAATAGAGCAGTAAACGGCCAATCGGCTTATTTTTTCATGCTCCTTCAGATGAAGCAATAAAATCAATAAATTTTTTTGTTGCCAATACCCTTTAACTCAAAATATGATTTCAGCTTTTAAATTTTGTGCGCGAGCCATTTTTAGTTTGTTGGAAAAGACACACCCCCCTGGTTCACAAAATTTGAGTTCGAGAAATTTTTTTCATTATTCTACATTATAAGTACCCAAAGAAGCTATATATATAAAAAACCGGATACAAATAGGTGTTTTGCGAAATTCAGAGCAATTTCAAATCTGTTCAGTTTTTTTTGATACACCCTGTATAGGTAAAATACTCGGTAAAATACTGTCATGCATGTAGCTTCCAATATTATATCAATACTTTTATTGTGTTATGTAAAATTCCCTAAACGATTCATGTGTTCCTCGTTGTACTATATATATATACACAACCGAAATTGCAAATACTTGTCAGTTCTGAGTACGGCTTCAATTAAGGAAAAGATCAAGATTGTTCATGTAAAACGTAAGGTAGCTACTAAGGTGCACTATAAAACATGTATTGCCCAGTCTACGGTTGTAATAGTGACAGCCAACACACAAGTGAAATCCGTTTTTTCCGTTTTCCAAATGACACATCGGTAGATCAGCAATACAGGAGAAAAGCATGGATTGAATTCTGTAAGCGCAAAGCATTTAAACCATCGTCGTCCACTAGAATATGCTCGCTTCATTTTGCCGAAGACGCGTATGAACAAGGACAGTCGCCACAGTTTTTAAAATGAATACAATGCAATGAAACGTTCAGAATACAATTGAAAAGGGAAGCGTTGCCCACATTAAATAAACCATTGATAGATCCAAGCACAAGTAAAACAAGGACTTATACTGAGAGAAGACAACGAACAAAGGTAATTTCTGACAATTAATGTCTGCGCAAAACATTTATTTATTGAACAAGGGACTTTCATTTTCATCCATTTGCTACCAGTACACACCAAAAAATGTTCTTTCATTTATAGGGCATCACTGACCTTTTTAATCCTGAAAGTTCAACAAGTAAAGCAGATGAAGAATACTCACCAGACGAGCATTGCGATGTTGATGAATGTCTAACTGACCCTACTGACTGTACCGTAGAATTAGACGCGTTGCCTAGTACATGTATGTCGGAACAGACACGCGAGCCTGAAATATTTTTACATGATTCTCTTCTTCGAACAAAATCAACACAGACAACATTTAAACCATTTAAACCTGTGTCAAGATCGGTTAGAACACAGACATTAGCCGACGCAACTTCGACGTTTTTTCAAACATGGAAACCAGTGACAAGATCAATCAAGACACAAACGTTGGGAGACGCAACTTCGACGTTTTTTCGTACTGATTCGGAAGCTCGACCAGTAAACGAAGTTGTGGACAATATGACATACCAGGGAAAATCCCTTAATATTGAGCAGATCCAGACCAATTACACTGCTACAACAGCGACAGAAGAAGACGTAGAGAGCATACATAGCAGTAACAGCGAGGATTCAGGAAAATCGGACAGTAACTTTGTAGAAACCGAGCAAGCCGAAGGGGCATCTACCGACAGCGAGGAGAGCTGCGACGAGTCGGATGAACGAGGGGAAACCCCCACAAGATCAAATAAAACTCATTGTATTTGAAGAAGCGATCTTGCACGTTCTTGGTAAATGCAGACAGTGTGGTTCAAAATGCATCGTCACAATGGAACACCAAATCGGCTCATCGTGCAAAATTTGTAGCTCTTGTACAGTGGAAAATAATCACTACTTTGAGTGGAGAACAGGTCCCATGGTGAATAGAATGCCTATCTTTCATTTACTTTTAGCGTCTGGAATTCTTGCAACAGGAATGGAATCAGCTAAAGTTCTTCGACTTTTCAATTCCTTAAAGATTCCTAATGTGAAGCGACGGGAGTTATCAAATATTTTAAAGAATTATGGTATTCCAGCTGTATACGAAGTTTGGCAAAAAGAGCAATCTGCACGGCTAAAAGAAATTGAGGGAAAACCAGTTGTAATTGCATCTGATATGCGTGTTGACAGCCCTGGTCACTGTGGTCTTCTTGGATCGGGAAGTACGCTCGACATGGGACGAAACATCATATTGGATACACAAATAATTAAGGTAATGCACATTGAAAATAATAACTATGAATGAAAACTTGTGTTTGCGAAATTAATACTAATGCAAAATTAATAAATAATTAACTAATAAATAGCGAATATAAATCAAGTACAGCCTTTTAATAAAAAGTAATAATTAATAGCAATAAAATTCATTTTAAATATGCTCATAAATAGTTCATGCTTGATAGGCCTGTTTCACATGTCCAACATTTCATGTGCGGGTGTGCCCAAGCAAAGGCAAATGACCTGAAGTAACGTTATATTTGTTTGAGCTCATTTGCATTTGGTTAGGCACATGAAAATTGAGATGTGAAACAGGCTTTATAATTCTGAGAAAATTATTGTCATTTTAATATTTTCATAGTCTACAGAAGTAAAAAATTCAAATGCAATGGAGCTAGAATCTTTGAAAAGGCAACTTAAATGCTTGGAGGACAATAAAGTTCAGGTGACCAAACTTGTGACAGATCGCCACACTCAAGTCTCGGCATACATGGCAAATGAGAAACCAGATGTTGAGCATTCTTATGATGTTTGGCATGTGGCAAAAGGTAGGTAAAACTTACATTACATGGTACTGTATGCCTGCATGTTTACATTCTTTGCAGGTAGGCAAAAGCAATTTGCTAAGCTAGGGGCAGTGGGTATTAAATTTTCTTTACACTAGTGTTCATTATTTTAAAGGTGAAAAGAAGAAATTGACAAAGCTTGTAAAGAAAAAGAAATTCCAGTCAATTAAGCCATGGATTGGGGTAAGTAATACATATTACAATGCACAGTATTAGATAGTAGACAGATCGCACTATTACCAATAATATATCAATAATGATTAACATGTTCATTAATTTTGTTGTTTGGCAGTCCATTGTTAATCATATTTACTGGGTTGGTGATTCAAGCAAGGCTGCTGATGAGAGGGAGGAAAAATGGCGCAGTATTCTGAACCACATTGTGAATGTTCACAAACATGATGGCCATAAGACCTTTGTTGAATGTCTTCATGGCCCACTAGAAAGAGAATGGCTTAAACAAGGTTGGGTAAAATAAGAAGTTGAACTATTTATAGGCATGTTTAAATTAGACATTAACTGAATGTAGGCTAATAATAGTATTGTGCCCAACTTCCCAATGTGCCCTACTTTATTATTTACTCTCCCCATGACGAGTAAAATCGTCTGGTGTTAGATAGAGTAACATACTGTAATAAAGTAGGACGCAATGCAACTAAATGGGTTAACTAGACAAATGGACAGATAGGCCAGTTACCCATTAAATGCCAGCGCTCTTCCCTTGATGAGTAAAATCGTCTGGTGTTGGACAGAGTAAAATAATAAAGTACGGCACATCAGGGCACAATGCAACTCAATGGGTTAAATGCCAGACGATTTTACTTGGAGGGTCTTGCATACTAACAGGTTAGTACAAGCATTTATATTTTATTCGTATTATTGCAGGATCTGCTGCATACAAAAAAATAACAGAGATGTTAACTAGGCCTCGACTAATTACAGCAATTCGTAAGCTATCCCAATACCATCAAACATCTGGTTTGGAGGCTAAACATGCTCTGGATAACGTCCTTGCGTCAAAAAACATATACCATCCCTATCATTCATTAAGTGCAAGGTGAGGTTCTCTTTTTCTAATATTAACAGCATAAAGTTAACATATCTATGTGATCATGTACATTTGAGTTAGGTGTGCTACATCTGTACATTTCAGTTAGGTGTGCTACATCTGTGGTTACACAGGCAAACAACATTGTAGTTATTTGAAAAAATAGCAAACACCTAGCCTGTGAATATAAATAGAATATTTTAATATATTCGCGAGCTAGCAAACACCAGGTGGTTTCCTATTTTGATCATAAAGTGTATGGCTTTTGTTTTTTAAAATTTGATATTGTTTCTGCAGGTTGTACTATTCAAACTTGCACTATAATGAAAACAGCAATAGGAAACAAGCTACAACAGTTGATGGGAAGCTTAGATGGGTAATTTCATATCCCAAGGCATTTAAAGGAGAAAAGGCAGTAGCAAAACCATTGAAAGAAATGCCAACCTATGGTAAGAATTATATTTTCCTGATGTAGGCCTTGCATGCTAGTTAGCCATGAAGTGGCAATTGTGTGACCTCATCTATTTCGCCTGATGCTTTGATTTAATAGAGATTGGCTCATTAACCAATTTCACTGCAATGCCTCCAAATAGATCCTACTTTATTATTTTGCTCTGCCTAACATGCATCTCAGCTGGGAGCAAGTCACTGACAAATAATAATAGGTGCAAAAAAGATTTTAAGTTAAAAATTTATTTTTATAGGATATGTGGAATTGATTTTAAATGAAGTTGTTCACCTAAGACACAAGTACCCAACTCTTAAGAAAGCCAAGGTTCATGCAAATGAAGTTCTACCAGTTGAACCAAAATCATTAGTTGAACAGTACTTGGCAGGAAAGGATCGACCTTCAAAGGAACAGGTGGTAGCCAGTCGGAAATCTCGGTTCAGTAAACCAGCTTTACCTGTAAATAAAGAGAGAGAATCAGAGATAAAGCCTTGTGCATGCAAAGGAAAATGTGCCACAAGAAAGTGCGATTGTAGGGGAATGGAAGTGATGTGTGACACCAAGTGCAAATGTAAAATAGAAAAGTGTATTAACCGCGAATGAGACGAATTTGGGCTTTTTCTCAATTCATGCACAACTGAAATAGCTTGATATAACAAATACATACCAATGTTTAGGGTTATGGTAAAGTTTTGGTAGGATTACGGGTGTATAATATAGCTTATAAGGTTAGGGATTTAGGAATGGTTATAAATTTTTATTTATGTTGGGTCAGGCGCTCTTGTAGACTAATGTTTTATATTATAAGGGTATGAAAAAAATAGTATTTAATTAAACAGTATATAAAGTTAAAGGTGCCCTACAGTCTGTATGTAAACAAAGCCTTTGTTTACATTTTTGCGTCCAAAATATTGAACTTTATTCGACAACTATTTGTATTTTCAAGCTTCTAGAGTATAATAAATGATCAAGAAACAACAATCAGGCTTTGCAAGAACCCAAAACATAGTTAAACTGTTTGTTTATAATAAAAAGTGGGCTCCTTTGTGTACATGCGAAGATCGGACTGTATGGGGCACCTTTAAAGTTTGTTTATAATAATTAATATATAAAGTGAAATAGCTCACACTTGCCAAACATTTGTATGAATATTAATACTATAATACCACAGCAAACATTCATTTATTAAAAATAAATATATAAACATTACCGTTTAGATGTTTTGGCGTATTTAAAATGTGTGTACAGGCCGTCTGGCGACGCGAACTGTTCTCGTATCTTTGAATACACACAAGCAGGGAAAGGTCTTCGTTTCTTTTTCCCCAAAATCTGGAAAACCCAGCGAGAACATCGGTGGTATGCTACCAGTCGATAGAGCTTATGTATTCTTTCCAGATCCTCATCATCCAATGGCCAGTTTTCCTGGAGATAACGACAAACATCTATCTTTAGCACATTTTCTGATAGCATGTTGTCTTTAAAATCTGGGTGTGTTGTCAAGCATTTTTCTCCTTGTATTTCAGTTTGGTTGAGAAGCGCATCATATTCATCGTACTCTAATGCTTTCTCATGACAACAAAAACATTCAATTAGTTTTGGTGATAACGTGCAATGTCCACATTTACACCAGCTTAGAGTTTGAAGACGCCAAGCGTTTGCTGATTCGAACTCATGATCGATTTCCTCGTCAGATGATGAATCGCTCTCTTGTTCCGAATCGCTTTGATCGGTAACATCGCTTGTTTTTTCTCCTACTTCTGGTTCATATTGGTATGGTAACACTTCAGCCCTACTTCGTTCTCGTGAATATTTTCCATTACAATGACTCAAAAGCATTAATTTCTTTAGAAAACGTATAAAATCTCGATACACGCTATACAAAAATATATTTTGATTCTACCCTGCCATCTACGTCATACGGGTCATGTGACCCAAAAAGATAATTTTTTGCAAATACAAGCCAAGATGGCGCCCGAAATATAAATTAACAGTGAAATAATATGCATATAACTCCTGAACAAAAATGTTTTACACGGTATTAATATCATATTCATAGTTAGGTGAAGCAGTACTTTTAATATAGACAATAAAAAATTTTGTTGCCATTGTCCTTTAATTACGAGTAAAGGTACAGACATTGACGAAAATATCGCTAACCAAAATCGTGCTACCCGTACACGTACACCGAAACCGGGGTATCCCGTAAGGCTATTTTGCATAAAAAGAGGAGATTCTTTATTTGTTTAGATTCTCAGCATGTTGCAAAAAATTGTAAATCAAGCTATGTTTGTAGAAGGTGCAATAAGGGTGAGCACCACATTTCTATATGTGAGTCCGCTTCAACTAGTAGAGATAAAGATTCCAATCTGGCCAAAGAGGGTAGTGAGGATAAAGTAGATGGAGAACTTAAGGTTTTTGTGGGGCACACTGGTTGTGACCAGTATGGAATACTACTGCAAACGGCTAGAGTAGAGGTACACTCCATAGATGATATTAGTACTGAACTTTGTTCCAGAGTTTTATATGACAGTGGCAGTCAGAAGTCATATATCTCAGAGAAAGTTACAACCAGCTTACATTTGAAAACCATTAGAACAGAAAAGGTGATAATTAAGACACTTGGCCAAGCTGGGGACAGTAGAGTGCAGAGATTGGATGTTGCCCAGTTTAAAATCAAGAATAAATCTGATGCTAGGTTTACATCTGTTGAAGCTTTGTGTGTCCTCACAATTTGTAGCAACACTATCAGGTCAATATATTTCAAAAACACACAACTTGAAAGAATTCAAAGATTTAGAATTCGCAGATCATGAAGGTGACTCATCAACCCTTTCGGTAGCATGCTTTCATGATGGGTAAGGTTGTGCACAGTAGGGAAGGCCCCGTAGCTTGTGGAACCAAGGTGGGATGCGTAATAATAGTCCAGGAGGAGAAGGGGTATCGTAACCCGAGCAGGGAATTTATGAGAATATGTGACTTTGGTCAATTTTGGGGCGCTGATTTCAAAAATCGATGTTATACGGGTCAATACCGGGGCCTTCAGCCTCGTTTTGGTGCATGCAGCCTCGTTTTGGTGCATGCAGCCTCGTTTTGGTGCAAATGGAGGGAAATCATTAGTTATCATAGATAGGAAAAGTCGTTGGTGATCTTGGTCAATTTCGGTGCACTGATTTCAAAAATCGATGTCACACAGCAAAATATCGAGGCCTCGTTTTGGTGCATGCAGCCTCGTTTTGGTGCAAATAGAGGGAAATCATTAGTTAGCTTAGATAGGCAAAGTCGTTGGTGATCTTGGTCAATTTCGGTGCGCTGATTTCAAAAATCGATGTTACACAACAAAATACCGAGGCCTTCAGCCTCGTTTTGGTGCGTATAGCCTCGTTTTGGTGCCTACATATGTGCCTTAGATAGCCAAGGAAGTTGGTGATTTTGCTCAATTTTGGTGCGCTAATTTCAAAAATCGAAGTTATATGCGCAGATATATTGGAACCTCTAGCCTCTGTTTGATACGCATATCCTTGATTTAGTGGAACTATTGGGAAGATCCTACTTAAACAAGCAAGAAAGCTAGTGATTTCTGCTCTTTTTGATAAAAAGCAATTCTGTCGCCCCATTAAATTGAGGTCATGTTATGCATGGCATTAAAAAACATGTACATTCTGATTACAAACCTTGCATTTTCCTTTTCAAAATTCACTCGTGTCTTCAATTTCCACATCCAAATCATCCTCGTAGTCATCATCGGAGGACAAACTGTTCTAACTCTCCGTGCCTGCGAGTAGCGCATCAATCTCCTCGGGATAGGAAATGTCACTCCAGACCACGTTTCCATCTCCGTCCCATCCATGCTCGTCGGGGCTCTCAAGTTCTACTAGCAGCTGATCGGCGTGTCAAAAGATGTACGCGACATAGTTAGCTCTCATGATGTGATGATATTTGACTGGCATGGTGGCATCAGACTTAGGTCGATGATCTTCTTCTCCTTGTTGAACTTGTTCCAAAATACTTTCTTCCTTGCCTCATTGACTGAGAGGATACGTGGATGCCCGTATATAGAACAGACGAACCATTCTAAACCCCGAACCAACTCCTCACTTGCTGTCACCTCCGTACCCAAATGTGAAAATAGATCGATAAAGGCAGTGTTCTTGGTCACGGCTTTCCACACGGCCTGCTTTCTCCTTCGAAAAAAGTTAGATACATAATCGTTTCCGCCAAGGGACAATTCAGTTGACGTCACGTCGATGATTTTCCTGTTCTTCCCGCTGCCATTGTCAGAATCTGCGTGTCCGAAAAATAGTGACCAATGAACAAGGTTATTATGTCTATATCACCAGATGGCGACCGTATCATTGCAGTTGAGCTAGGTGGCAATTGGCTAGTACGCACAAATGCAACGAGTTTCTTGTCCGTTTCCTCGCGGTCGCTGGTTAATTCTGGTAATAAACTCATTGCATTTGTGCATGCTAGCCAATTGCCACCTAGCTCAACTGCAATGGTACGGTCGCCATCTGGTGATATAGACATAACAACCTTAGCTTGTTCATTGGTCACTATTTTTCGGACACACAGATTTTGATTGACAATGGCAGCGGGAAGAACAGGAAAATCATCGACGTGACGTCAACTGGATTGTCCCTTGGTCACAGATGAGCTCTTTTGGGAACGCATGCCTTTTCCGGAAACGATTATGTATCTAGCCTTTTTCGAAAGCAAAAGCAGGCCGTGTGGAAAGCCGTGACCAAGAACACTGCCTTTATCGATCTATTTTCATCCTTGGGTACGGAGGTGACAGCAAGCGAGGAGTTGGTTCGGGGTTTAGAATGGTTCGTCTGTTCTATATACGAGCATCCACGTATCCTCTCAGTCAATGAGGCAAGGAACAAGTTCAACAAGAAAAAGATCATTGACCTTTGTCTAATGCCACTATGCCAGTCAAATCTTCATCATCACATCATGAGAGCTAACTATGTCGCGTACATCTTTTGACACGCCGATCAGCTGCTAGTAGAACTCGAGAGCCCCGACGAGCATGGATGGGACGGAGATGGAAGCGTTGTCTGGAGTGACATTTCCTATCCCGGGGAGATTGATGCGCTACTCGCAGGCACGGAGAGTTAGAACAGTTTGTCCTCCGATGATGACTACGAGGATGATTTGGATGTGGAAATTGAAGACACAAGTGAATTTTGAAAAGGAAAGTGCAAGGTTTGTGATCAGAATGTACATGTTTTTTAATGCAATGCATAACATGACCTCAATTTAATGGGGCAACAGTATTGCTTTTTATCAAAAAGAGCAGAAATCACTAGTTTTCTTGCTTGTTTAAGTAGGATCTTCCCAATAGTTCCACTAAATCAAGGATATGTGTATCAAACGGAGGCTAGAGGTTCCAATATATCTGCGCATATAACTTCGATTTTTGAAATTAGCGCACCGAAATTGAGCAAAATCACCAACTTCCTTGGCTATCTAAGGCACATATGTAGGCACCAAAACGAGGCTGTACGCACCAAAACGAGGCTGAAGGCCTCGGTATTTTGCTGTGTAACGTCGATTTTTGAAATCAGCGCACCGAAATTGACCAAGATCACCAACGACTTTGCCTATCTAAGCTAACTAATGATTTCCATCTATTTGCACCAAAACGAGGCTGCATGCACCAAAACGAGGCTGAAGGCCTCGGTATTTGCCCGTGTAACATCGATTTTTGAAATCAGCGCACCGAAATTGACCAAAATCACTGGTTTCCCTAGCTAACTAAGACAACTAACGTGTTCCCTATGTATGCCCCAAAACGAGGCTATATGCATCAAAACGAGGCTGAAGGCCCCGGTATTGGCCCGTATAACATCGATTTTTGAAATCAGCGCCCCAAAATTGACCAAAGTCACATATTCTCATAAATTCCCTGCTCGGGTTACGATACCCCCTTTCTCCTCCTGGAC